GGAAACCCTGTAGGATCACTATGAGTCAGAAATCAGTTTGATGGCAATGGGTTTGTTTGTTTTTTTTTTTTGGTATTAACAATTTATTCATTTTAGATAATGGCCTCATCTAGATGTCTGCAGGATTGATGTCTTTAATTTATATTCATTCCCCCCCACCCACGCTTTGTCTCTCTTCTAGCCCAGGAATTTGGGCCGTTCTTTCCATTGCCCGTAGTTATTTTAAATGCATACGTAACTACTACTGGTATACTTCAGTGCCGTAATTACCTCTGCCTCTTTTTCTTTTTCAAATCAAGTTTTTTTTTTTTTGTTACAATTTCTAGTTCTCTTGCCTTTTGTTCACCTAATTGTCCACCCTTTCCTACCAGTTTTGTACTTTTTTCCAACAAGACTGTATTATGCAAAATGTCAAACATACAGAAAGGTTGAAAGGGCTCTACTGTGAACACGCTTGTACCTATCACCTGGATTCCACAGTTAATGTTTCACTCTACTTTATTGCCTGTCTGTCCCGCTGGCCATCCATCCTTCCGTCTTCTTTGGATGCATCTTAAAGTAGCAGGTATCAGTCCATTTTAGATATTGCTAGGTATTTTAACATGCATATCATTGACTAGAGTTCCATATTTGTTTGCAGGTCTTTTTTATTTTGAGGTAAAGTTTACGTAGAATGATACGCATAGGTCTTCAGCAGGCTATTTAATGATCTCTGGCTTCCGCTTCCTTCTAAGCCGCTTGTGTTCTGTTAAGGGAACTGGCACCCATCATAAGGCCACACCCCCAAAACTACCGATAGCTTGTGTGTTCATTTGGGTTTTCAAGAATAGACTTTGAGTACCACAAAGTACTTTAAAATTCTCTCCTTTTAAAAGTATCTTTTATTATGTAAATATGCTACACAGTAAATGATTATAGTCAAAGGCATTTTTATCTTTTCCAGATTGTCCCTTGCTTCAGCAAAAATTCTTAGCGTGGCGAATGATATCACACAGTGCATGCTGGAGGAAATAGCTTGAGAATATTTTTGTTTCGTTAAGTGTGAAATTGTGAAGAAAGGCAAGGATTGCCCTTTTGTCAGTTTCATGAGCTAAAGATGTAAAACATGTAGTTAATTCAAGACACTTTAAACATTTATGAAGTGCTTTATAGTTTATTCCCTGGGTAGTGCAAACTATGCCCAATTACTGATGAAAAGGTTGGTGAGTCAGACCCACCCAGCAGGGCCACCAAAGAAAGATCACCAGACCTTTCTTTGGTGGCCCTGCTAATTAAAGATTACAGCCAAGAAAACCCTATAGAGCTCAGTTCTACTCTGTAACACACGGGGTCACCAGAGTCGGAATCAAATTGATGGCAGTGGGTTTGGGTTTTTGGTTTGGTGTATAAGTTTATTAAGTGCTTATATTTATCTCTAGGCATTTGAGCCTCACATTAACCATGTTAGATGGGACGGTTATTATTTCTGCTCTATAGATGAAGAAACCAACGTTTAGGAAGTGAAAAGAGCAATTCAGAGAATCAGATGCTCTCATTTTAAATTTTGTCCTGTGACGACAACGATCACACTAAGCCTGTAGTCCTGGTGTCATTCCAGGTGCTGAGTTTTCTGTCTAAATACCTACTAACTGTCTCTGTGCAGGCGAGCGTTAACTGTAGCGACGGCTCAGGTGCAAAGATACGTGACGAGTTCTCCAGGATGCAGTAGTTAGCTCTGGGGGCACTGCGTCTCTCCGGACCCAGACAGGCACGGAGCTGAGTGTGCTATAGTTAGAATGGGACATGCTGATACTACATACACAGTCTGTTCTCACAAAAGTGAACAATATCATGATTGAAACACCACTTTTAGTGTGGCAAAATGCCTATTTTTTGACGCATGAGAAATTAGTTGGAGAAGGGAAAGGCTTATTAATGTCTGTTTTGGAAGGCTTGTATTCTATAACATCCTTAAGGAATTCCCGTCTTTCCTTTAAGGAAACAGATACTTAATGACAAACCCATCTGGAGAAAATCAGCTGGACGTTGTCTAGGTAAAGGAGCTGGCGAAAATGTAGGCAGTTTTTTTTTTTGGGGGGGGGGGCAGTCAGTTGATGTAAAGGTACAGCTTTTTAAGTTGGCCAGTACCATTAAGGAAAAACTGAAAGAGATTAAAACGAGGGCAGGTATTCTTTATGTATGTATTTTTTTGTTTCTTTATTGTTATAGTTTAAATGAAGTTTACATTTCAAGTTAGTCTCCCATACAAAAATGTATACACGTGTTGTTATGTGACCCTAATTGCTCTCCCCCCTAATTGCTCTCCCCATACTGTGGCAGCACATTCCTCCTTTCCACTCCTGATTCCCCATGTCCATTCAGCCAGCTTCTAACCCTCTCTGCCTTCTCATCTCACCTCCGGACAGAAGCTGCCCGTTTAGTCTCTTGTACCTACTTGAGCTAAGAGGCACACGTTTGACGAGTATCACTTTATGTCCCACAGTCCAGTCCAGTCCCTGTCTGAAGAGTTGGCCTCGCAAATTGTTTTAGTTCTGGGCTGATAGAGAATCCAGGGGCCATGCTTTCCGGGGTTCCACCAGTGTCAGTCAGACCATTAAGTCTGGTCTCCTTACTAGAATTTGAGGTCTGCACCCCTCCTTTCTCCTGCTCCATCAGGGACTCTCTGTTGTGTTCCTTGTCAGGACGGTCATTGGTGGTAGCCAGGCACCATCTAGTTCTTCTGGTCTCAGGCTGATGAAGTCTCTGGTTTATGTGGCCCTTTCTGTCTCTTGGGCTGCTGCTTCCCTTGTGTCTTTGATGTTCTTCATTCTCCTTTACTCCAGGTGATTGGGACCAATTGATGTATCTTAGATGGCCACTTGCAAGCTTTTAAGACCCCAGATGTCACTCACCAAAGTAGGATGCAGAACATTTTCTTAATAAGCTTTGTTATGCCAGTTGATCTAGATGTCCCCTGAAAGCAGGGTCGAAGACAAGTATTCTTGAGGAAACCTCCTTGGTAGAGAAATGTACTGAAAGTCCATTAGGATCAGAAACTGGAAATAATCTGCTCAAGATTGCCTTCAAATCCACATTCTTATTTCTATTGTTTCATTGAAAAGCAGTTTTCCATTGGCTATGCTAGGAATTTTATTTCTTTTAAGATTTCCCCATATCTCTGATATAGAATATTTTAATATAGGAGTTATTAGAAGATAGATTGCATAGGAGCTGAAAAGCTTTAATTTTTCTAATGTTACTAAGGACAACTGACTGGAGTACAAATGATATAATTCTTTCAAAAGCACTGGATTGTTCTTTGAACAAGGGAATGGTTGATTTGCTTCACAGGCAACTGGAAAAGGTGACAGGACCTGGCCAGTCGGTCACATAACATCTAGATACACTGTATGGAAGAAGCCCTGGTGGTGCAGTGGTTAAGCAATCAACTGCTAACTGTAAGGTTAGTGGTTCAAACCCCTCAGCCACTCCGTGGAAGAAAGATGTGGCAGTCAGCTTCCATAAAGATTACAGCCTTGGAAACCCTATGAGGCTGTTCTGCTCTGTCCTGTAGGCTCGCTATGAGTCAGAATCAACTCGAAGGCAGTGGGTTGACTCTGTCTGGATAGGCCCCAGGAAGACAAACCGAAGATTGTTCCCATTACCTGCTTATCCCGTGCCTCTGTCCTGCCCTCAAGGCTAGCCCGGAGCCTGTTGAAGCCGTTTTGAGGTGTTTTAAGAAAAGTTAACTCTTAACAAAAATCTCTGTACTGGGAGTGCGCTGGCAAGTGTCGGGCAGTGTTAGTTGAGAAAGAAGAAAAATGGAGTATGGGGAAAGGCGAAAGAAGGAAAAACAAGTGCATTCAGAAGAGCGCCACCAGCAGTGGCTTTAGCTCTGTGCCTCAGTTCTTAACACGCTGTCCCACGTCAGGGCCAGTTTATTCTTTGAGCCTTGGACTTGAGGACCTGAACTTTTTATTTTTAATTTAAAAATATTTTAAAGTATGTTCCCCCTTTTTGCAATGCTATTGAAATTTCAGAGAACCAAGAAAAGGAAAAAAAAATACATTCATAATACTGTCCTTCTAACCAAACCACTGTTACTCTTTCAGTATATTTCCAGCCAAGTCTCTTTTTTCCCACCTTCTGTAATTATTTTTACGTGTCTGGAATTAGAAAATGTCTATGTTTTTGTCTCCTGCTTCTGTGAAATGTCTTTCAGTGTGTCTTTGGAAAGCTGGCTAAAGGACAAATTTTGGATGATAGTATTACAATGCATTAGTTAAATTGTCACTCCAGCCTGAAAAGAAACTTTGTATTGCATGTTGCTTTTTTCTCAGTATGTGGCTGATATTTGTATACACCGTTACTATCAAGTAAGGGCATGAGCTTTAAGATTATGCTGCAGATAAGAATGATGCTAGACTTCTGAGAAAACTCCCATAACTATGCTTTTCAGGAATTGTCTTGAATTTGTGGCTGGGGCTTATCAACTGCTGCTTTCAGACACACATTCTTTTTTTAGTTTCCATTTAAATGAGTCTTTTTCTTGCTTATCATGTCCAGATATATTTTTTATGGCAGAGTAATAAACCCTCATCAGTCTTCATTCTGGTTAACAAACAGAATAAGCTGGCTTTGTGGGAATGAGAAATGGTGTCAGATAAGATGGGAATGGCCTGAATTCTCACGGGAGACAGCTTTTTTGGAAGAGTGGTTTGGTGGTGTGGTTCTGTTTTATTTTGCCTGAATCAAGTAAATTCCAGTAGGTTAAAATCATTTACCATTTTAGTACAGCAAATTCTGTTAGGACAGATTTACTTGAGAATTTGTTTGTGACTCATCCTGTAATAGAATTTCTCCAGTATATTTTGTTAAAACTAGGAGACAAAACCTTGAAGTAACGGGTATTTAGCTATAGGGTCGCTGTGAGTTGTAGTCAACTCACTGGCAATGGTTTTGGTTTTTTTTGGTAGCTAAATGAGGAGCCCTGGTGGTACAGTGGTTAAGAGCTTGGCTGCTCACCAAAAGGTCAGCAGTTTGAAGCCACCAGCTGTTCCTTGGAAACCCTATGAGGCAGTTCTGCTCTGTCCTGTAGGGTTGCTAGGAGTCACAATCCCCTCGATGGCATCAGGTTTGGTTTTGGTAGCTAAATGAGTTGTACTTCTCGTGGATGTGTATGGGACAGAGGGAAATATAAATTCATATGCACTCTCCTAGGTTAGATGGCCTTCATCATCCTTGTTATTTAATCCTGGCAGATGAGGTTTTCCTCTCTTTTATAAAAATGGATCTATTTAATGATTATAGTAATAATAACAATAATAGAGATCCATAGATGTATTCTTAATCATTGGACTACATCAGTTTGTTCATCACTGTATCTTTGGCATCTCCTATCAACCAAAACCAAACCCATTGCCATAGAGCCAGTTCTGACTCATGGTGACCTGGCAGTAATAGACACTCAGATATTTGTGGCATGGACAGTGTTGGTTATTGTTAATTGTAGTATAACACCTTCATTTATTATGTGCTAATGGTTTAATTGGATTTGTTTCTTAAATTGCACAAGAAGCAAAGTTACCTTTGTAACTTTAAGACTCTATTAAAACCTCTCAGACATGTTCTCTCAAAGCTTTAGACTGAATGGCTTTTCTGAGATATTTTTCTTTCTGGAATGGAAATAGATTTTAGACATAGCTGTAGTAATTTTAAACTGTTCCATAGGATTCCTGCTGATTGCCATTTTCTGAGGCTAATACAACACAATCTCATAGGTTGCTGAGGGTAGCATGAAGAAAAGAGTTAGGAGGTTTAATAATTAGTATAAATTTTAATATCTAAAATTTTCTGGAATAATTTGGTAGTGGGGAGAAGTATCCAGTGACTAATCTTCTAAAGAGAAACATAATTTATCTTCGTTAAAAGCGAATGTGTAGGTGAGCATTAAAACTGCACAAAAGGAAACATAAATTATTCTGTTTCTTTATTTCAGGACTGAAAACGGAGTGAAATTACTTTTCAGAGTTAAAAGACTATTAAGAAGTCAAGATGGGGACTCCTGGTTCTGGAAGGAAAAGAACACCTATGAAAGACCGATTTTCTGCAGAAGACGAAGCGCTGAGTCACATTGCCAGAGAGGTGGGTCTGGAAACCCCCCTCAACTCTGGCTTGCACAGAAGAGAGTGTTGTAAAAACGCTAGGGGGGGAGTGATACAGACATGGACTCACTGAACTAGTTTCAGAATGCTTGCCGTGAACAAGATGTTATGGCTAGCTTTCTCCAAAATACTGTATTAGAATAAAGTATGGTTACTATGTAAATTATAGTTATTGTATTTGGATACCTGTTCAGCTCATCTAGAATTAATTCTTCATTTTATTTCAATGGGTTACTAGAGTTCTAGGTACTTGTCTGACTGTATTGAAATGTGCAGTTGATTTTCAGTATTAAACTTAGGTTAATTACAGCGTTGACAATATGACAGCTAATTAGAAATACTCATTGGGCTGTAGGGTTCCCGGAGGTGTTACATGAATGTTGACAGAAATGGTACTTACTGGTGTCTGTTCAGATTCAGTGTCTCAGCTGTTGACTCTTGAAATATTGCAGTGGGGTTTTTACATTTAATTCTTTTAGCTAGTAACAACTGCTGGTGCATTTTTGTTTCAGTTTGTTGACACCTCAGAAAAAAAAAAAAAAGAGAAGTGTCACCTATTGAATCACTGGCAACATTTCCTGTTACATATTGGAAATTTAAGATAACTCCCAGCTGGGGTTTCTTAGTGAGCTGCCAACTTCGGTTCAGACTCTAACTCCATCTGCAGCTGCAGACTTGACTATAAACTAATCTGGTGCAAGAATTGCTTGGAGTATCATTGAGTTATATTCTTTTGGTGAGAACTATTCCCTCATCACTTCCTCTTTGTTTTTCTTAGTAAGTAACACATTTAGGACTATTGCTGTTTCCTGTTGACATATTACACAGTCGTCGTTTGTTCCAGCTCATTCTTGTGTCTTTCTTCTTATAAGCTACTCAGCTTCTGAAATTAGAAATCAAATTCTGTAGGATGGTATTGAAGCAAGAAAAAAGTTATTATCTGAAACTGATGACAAAATTGTGATATTACTTTAACAAAATCACTTTGAAAATCATTGGGATATTTTTAGATAAAAAAGGTAAAAGATATTTAAAAATGAAATAGTAGCTATTACTTTACCATGATCTTAAATATTTGCACTAATAGAGCATTTTGGAAGCCACATATTTTTAGTTGGAAATTGAAATTACACAAAATGTTTACTTCCAAAATCGGAGAGGTTTACCCAGATTTCTGTAAGGGAAAAATGCCGGCCCCTCCTGGGCTCTTTTCGAACTGTCAGCAAGTATTTGAGCTCTTTTTTTCTTCTGGGGCAGGGGTGTAATGTCTCCTTTAAAGAATCGGGTAGAATACTAACATTGTAACTAACACTTGTTGAGTGCTTGCTATGTGGCAGACACTATTCTAAGCATTTTACATGCATTAATTAATCCTCACAAAATTATGAGATTACTTCAATTATTGTCTCCATTTTACAGATGGAGGAAACCATTGCACAGAAAGGTTACGTAACTTCCCCAAGGGCACACAGCTAGGAAATAGAAAAGCTTGTGTTCAGCCCCTTTCAGTGGCATTATGCGTGAATTCAGCAAACTCCCATCAAGTATCCACCTCTCGCCATGTTTTCCCCATTCACCCACCTGAGCTAAGGCAGAGGAAGTGGGAGGTGTGTCTGGAGAGCACTCCTCTTGTGCTGACCCTCCCCCCCCCACCACCACAGCGCGCAGTCTGGCTGTGGTCACTCGCCTTTGTGATGGTCAGCGTTACTCTTAGTCCTCTCAGTGCCCCTTGATTTGTTTGGAAAGATTATTGAGCTTTAGGAGTCCCTGGATGCTGCAAATGGTTAAGTACTTGACTGCTAGCAGGAAGGTTTTGGCAGTTCAAACTCACCCAGAAGCACCTCGGGAGACAGGCCTGGTGATCTGCTTCTGAAAGGTCACAGCCTTGAAAACCCTACGGGATGCGTTTCTACTCTGTACACATGGGGTTGCAACAAGTCCGAGCTGACTCAGTGGCAAACTGACAACAGCCTTGAGCCTGAAGACTTTTTGTCTCAATGTGACTGAAGAATATTTGGTGTGACATTCACTGTCATGACCTTTACCATTCCAATGAGTTACAGTAACTTCTCTTTTCCTGAGAGTATTTCTACCAAAATTGGGATTCTCATTTCTTCTCTTTGGTTAGACATACCATTTCAGATCCAAAGTTTCAGTTTTCCTGTGCTGTCTACTTATTAAGTTGTATTCAAACCTCAGTAATAAAGTCTTTAACCTTAGATCTCCTCTCTCATTCCAAAAGAATATTTCTGCTGTCCAAAGATTTCTGAATAAAAGGAAGATATAGTTGTTTGACGTCAGAAGAAGCTGGGTTAAAATCTCTAGATTTTATCTATTATGTGTGGGTGTTTATGCATAGAACAATTTAAATATTTAGTCCTCAACTACCAAAAGCTTTAAATAAGTGGTTAAACGTAGTTCCATTATAAGATCTAATTAAGAAAATGGACCCTAAGAGTTTGTACTAAAGGGAAGTTTCTAGGAGATGAGTAATAGTTTTATTTGTTAATTTGGAAACCATGGCAACACAGTAAATATTATGTCTCTTAATTTGTCATTCAGTGTTCTTTTGGCATGAGTGTCACAGAAGAATAAGTTAAACACAGTCAGCTCTGAGTCTTAGCTACCTGAATCTTAGTCATTGTCCTTGAATGTCTCTAGTATTCTATATTATTTCGAATTCCTTGAAATAAAAGCATAGTCTGTAAAGGCACAGATTATACCATATCTCTCTTTTACTCAGCTGCATAAGTTTTATATATATTATGAATATAACCTGCAGGCTGGCAGTTGAAAATGTTCTTGGCCTAGTTCAGTGAATTTTGTCGAATTACGAATTTTTAATTTACCTCCCATTAAAACTGTTACATGATCACAGTAGGACAAAAAGTTTTAAAGTTAGAGAGTTCTCTTCTTTTAAAGACATTTGGGTGTGTGTTTTCATGAATTATTTTTTCCCCTAAATTTTATTGTGGTGGAATATATATAACAAAAAGTTTACCATCTTAACAATTTATTTTATTTTGTTTTCTTTTTTATTATGCTTTAAATGAAAGTTTACAGCTCAAGTTAGTTTCTCATACAAAAATTATACATATATTGTTATGTGACCCTAGTTGCTATCCCTATAAATGCGACAGCACACTCCCCCTTTCCACCCTGGATTTCCTGTGTCCATTCAACCAGCCTATCCCTTTCTGCCTTCTCATCTCGCCTTCAGACAGGAGCTGCCCATTTAGTCTCGAGTAGCTACTAGAACTAAGAAGCACACTCTTAACAAGTATCATTTTACGTCTTATAGTCCAGTCTAATCTTTGTCTGAAGAGTTGGCCTTGGGAATGGTTTCAGTTTTGGGCTAACAGAGAGCCCGGGGGCCATGTCTTCTGGGGTCCCTCCAGTCTCAAACTGTTAAGTCTGGTCTTTTTACTAGAATTTGAATTCTGCACCCCACTTTTCTCCTGCTCCATCAGGGACTCTGTTGTGTTTCCTGTCAGAGCAATCATTGGTGGTAGCCAGGCACCATCTAGTTTCTTCGGGTCTCAGGCTAATGGAGTCTCTGGTTTATGGGGCCCATTTTTTCTCTTGGGCTAATATTTTCCTTGTGTCTTTGGTGTTCTTCAGTCTCCTTTGCTCCAGGTGGATTGGGACCTGTTGATATGTCTTAGATATCCTCTCGCTAGCTTTTAAGATGCCATTCACCACGGTGGGATGCAGAACATTTTCTTAATAAACTTTGTTATGCCAATTGACCTAGATGTCCCCTGAAACCATGGTCCCCAGATCCCTGCCCCTGCTACTCTGTCCCTTGAATAGTTTGGTTATGTTCAGGAAACTTCTTAGCTTTTGGTTTAGTCCAGTTGTGCTGACTTCCCCTGTATTAGGTTTGCCCTTCCTTTCACCTAAGATAATTCTTGTCTACTCTCTAGTAAGTGAATTCTCTTCTCTCTCCCTCCCCACCCTCATAACCATCAAAGAATGTTTTTCTTCCATGTTTAAACCTTTTCTTAAGTTCTTATAATAGTGGTCTCATACAGTATTTGTCCTTTTGTGACTAATTTCCCTGAGCATAATGCCTTCCAGATTCATCCATGTTATGAGATGTTTCGTGGATTCATCGTTGCTCTTTATCATTGCACGGTATTCCATGTGTGAATATATCATAATTTATTTATCCATTCACCCATTGATGGGCACCTGGGTTGTTTCCATCTTTTTGTTATTGTGAACAGTGCTACAATGAACATGGATGGCATATATCTATTCGTGTGACAACTCTTATTTTTCTAGGATACATTCCAAGGAGTAGGATTGCTAGATCTTATGGTACATCTATTTCTGGCTTTTTAAGGAAGCACCGAATCGATTTCCAAAGTGGTTGTACCATTTTACATTCCCACCAGCAGTGTATAAGTGTTCCGGTATCTCCACAACCTCTCCAACATTTATTATTTTGTCTTTTTTGGATTAATGCTAGCCTTGTTGGGGTGAGATGGTATCTCATTGTAGTTTTGATTTATATTTCTCTAATGGCTAATGATCGTGGGCATTTCTTCATGTATCTGTTAGCTGCTTGAATGTCTTCTTTGGTGAAGTGCCTGTTCATATCCTTTGCCCATTTTTTAGTTGAATTCTTTGTCTTTTTTTGTTGAAGTTTTGTGGTATCTTGTAGACTTTAGAGATTAGATCCTGATTGGATTTGTCGTAGCCAAAAAATTTTTCCCAGTCTGTAGGTTGTCTTTTTACTCTTTTGGTGATGTCTTTTGATGAGCATAAGTGTTTGATTTTTAAGAGCTCCCAGTTATCTAGTTTCTCTTCTAGTGTTATTAACCATTTTTAAGTGTATAACTTGGTAGCATTAGTTATATTCGCCATGTTGTGCTCCCAACATCACTATCTACACTATCCATTTTCAAAAGTGTTACATCATTCCAACAGAAACTCAGTCTCCTTCAGCAACATTTCCCATTTCTTCCTCCTTGC